TCATTACAGAGGTGGTAGATACAGAGAGGAGGAAGCTAAGGATATAGTGATTCAAATTCTGAGTGTAGTTGCTTATTTTCATCTTCAAGGTGTTGTGCATCGTGATCTAAAACCAGAGGTTTGCTGCTATAGATTTCCCGAATTTGTCATATGTTACTCTTGCATGTGAGACTATCAAAGCAGGATATTCGCATTGTGTATGCGCTACTCTTTCATTTATGTTAATCGGAACGTCATCATCTTCCGACCATTCTTTCCCCTCTTGACTTCATGGCAGAATTTTCTATTCTCCACTAGAGACGAGGACGCGCCAATGAAGATTATTGATTTCGGCCTCTCTGATTTTATTGGGCCAGGTAACTGTTGGGATTTTTCAGGGAGATTTTTTATGGGTTTCTTGTCATTTTGTTGGAAAAAGTACAATCCATAAGCCACTGGAATTCGTATTCCATTTTGCATGTGTTTTCTGAAATGCTCCTCTTTACCAGCTGTACTGATAATTGAAACGATTGTAGAGTTCAGTTTCCTTCAGCCTTTGGATGAATAATGGACTTCAGCACAGTTTGTTTGGCTGATCTAGTGTCCAAATCGCGCGGTAGAACATATAAGAGATCCATATGGCCATTTTTTCCATTTTGGTGTCAGTGTGATTTTTTTGTCTGTCCTTGAGCTCAACAAATTGACATTTCATGCACTCACAGGTCAACGTCTCAGTGATGTTGTTGGCAGTGCATACTATGTTGCACCAGAAGTTCTCCATAGATCATATAGCCTTGAAGCTGACATGTGGAGTATTGGGGTCATAACATACATATTGCTATGTGGAAGCAGACCATTTTGGGCTCGGACTGAATCTGGAATTTTTCGCTCTGTTCTTAGAGCAGATCCTAACTTTCATGATTCACCTTGGCCTATGGTATCAGCAGAGGCTAAAGATTTTGTGAAAAGGCTTCTGAACAAGGATTACAGAAAAAGAATGACAGCTGCCCAGGCTCTAAGTAAGTATTTTCAATGGACAGGGCAGGAACTCTTGTACAGTTAGCCATTTAAGAATTAGACAGGCCACTAACGTTAGTGCTTTTGTTTGAGGATGATGTTCATGATATTTTTAAGCTAAATAAATTATCCTTTTCCTTTGGTAGAAAAAGGAAAAAAAGTTAAACTGTGAGATACGTAGAAGAAACGTATGATAGAATATTTATGCCCCAGAAATGTACATGCAACCTATAGTGAGGGCCAAAGTTGTGTCACGGCAAAAGCACATTTTTTCTGATCAACCAAGTCAACATGAGAATGGTTATTTGTGGCTTTTTACAATTAACCGATTAATCATTAGCTAAATCCCTGGAATTTGCTGTATTTTCAGCTCACCCGTGGATACGAGATGTAAAACATGCGGTGCCTTTGGATATTTCGATCTACAAGTTGGTTAAATCTTATGTTCGTGCCACCCCTTTCAAACGGTCTGCACTAAAGGTAATCTTTCTTCATTTTGTTAGCCATACTGCTTTCTAAAAGAAGTTATTCTGCTCCTTTGACTTGAAAGAACGAGGTAATAATTGGAAAACACAAGACACTGAAAGAAGCTCTGTACCATCCTACTCACATGGGCAGGCTAATAGTACAAGGCCTACTCTTGTAGTGGGTGGCAAAATGTCACTTCACCTCTATACTGGAGTAATCTGGCTTCAGGTTGTGCATTTTAATTTGGTTATGTGAATAGACTATAAGGACATTGCTTTTGTTTTAAAATATGCAGGCTCTCTCAAAAGCGTTAACGGAGGATGAGCTCGTGTATCTCAGGGCCCAATTTAATCTCTTGGAACCAAAGAATGGATATGTTTCTCTTGATAACTTTAAAATGGTGGGTGATGTATTACCTTCACAGATTTTTTGGCAATTTGTATCTGGGCTGTGTTTGGAAAATACATATTTTCGTATATGTCATCGATGCTATTTAGTATTATTTTGACCTTCTGATCGGCACAAGCTCAGATTGTCATTATTCTTGATGATTCATCTCTTTAAGTACCTGTAGTCTGGGTCTGCTTTGGCTGCAATTGATTTATGAAGGAAAATGCAGGCTTTGATGAAAAATCTAACTGAAGCAATGAAGGAGTCGAGGGTTCCTGAAATTTTAGATGTGGTAAGATTCTTTTGTTCCAAAATTTTGTATCTGATGCAATTCATTTCTCATGAGTGATCCATAATGAGATTTGCATCACCTCCTTTCTTTTGGAAATTCAGATTACTTATATCCTGTATTTATGATGCTTATTGTCCGTGCTAACTTCCATTTTACACGATTTAAGATGGAACCACTCTCACATAAGAAAATGAGCTTCGAAGAGTTTTGTGCTGCGGCAATCAGTCCACATCAGCTGGAGGCTCGTGAAGACTGGGACCAGATTGCAAGTACCGCCTTTCAGTATTTTGAAGAAGAAGGAAACCGGGTCATTTCCCTCGATGAATTGTCAAGTGTATGTGCATCTGTAGCTTTTGAAATTATCTTGTGCTACCTGGAAATTGGATTGACAAAATCACGTATGTTTTTGCATTATGCAGGAGCTGAATCTGGATCCCAGAGCTCAGTCTCTACTCGATAACTGCATCAGAGATACTGATGGAAAACTCGGCATCCTCGGATACACCAAGTTCTTACATGGTGTGACGCTTCGCAACTCTAATTTAAGACAGAGATAGCATGTAGCCGTGGTGGATTTGCTTACAAATATTGATTTGAAGTGTATAGCCTTTTCAATCCGAGAGGTGAAGTCCTCCGATTGGCAAATCTTGAGGCGTGCGATGGCGTGAGATTGGTTGGTAGATAGAGGGTATGATGCTTTTGTGACCGCCGATTTCTTGAAATATATTGTCTCTGTTCTTCAAATCCTCGAGGCCATGGATGGTGATGTTGAAAATGGCTCCGTGTCCCGAAATGACATGGTTCTTTGTAATGAAGGGAAAATGGTCTGAATTCTTTATAATTATAGGATGATTGTTGAAACGTTTTGAAGTTTCCTCCCCAATCTGTACTTGCACATTCATTTACTATGTTTTGTGGTCCAATGTGAAGGGTTAACTGAGCTCGGAATCAAGGCAGTTGGGTCAGTTTTTAGAATTTAGGTTCCGCTGTTTTGAGGAAAATGAATAACGTGAAAAATATTTTCTTAAAAATGATCGCCTGTATTGTTTGAAATTATTAGTCAATGAAAAATATTTTCGTTATTGATAATAATTTATGTCTAAGTATTTTTGTGGATACTAAAATTATCTTGTAATAATTCATTTTTGAAAAAAGATATAATTGATCATATTTAGGAAAATATTTTCAAATCATTCATTTTTTACGTGGCAAGCTCTCTTCTTTCACCAAATAACTTTTAGCGAGATTCATCTTCACATCGGTGCTGGATGGTAGATATATAAACGGGTTATCTTTTGTTCGGGAAGAAAAGAGAGAACATTTTGGGAGAGTACACAAAGTAATGTTTTAAAATTTGGCTTATAAAATCTTTTGAAGTTCAACTCCATATCTCCTGATTGATGGATTATAAAATAGATATGCTCGTTGAAAATGGAAATAAAAGCACACATGGGCTGTCTTAATGCAACCTTTCGCTCTCCGCTGACCAAATTTCAACGTGACCTTAGGGGTACTTCAAGAGGCTTACAGAAAAGTCGAAATGTATTGGTCGCAAAATCTAAATCTAACAAAAACAACATAAACTCTGTTCAAACAGTTGGCACCCCACCTAAAGAGTTCTCTTCCGCAAGCAGAAACTGACAGATTTTCTGAGATTTTATCATTCAGATAGAAAGTTGATACCTTACTGTAACATCAAGATCCAATGAAGATGGAAAGTCAATACAGCTATAGCAAAGTGATGACCGACCCACCAATCAATGGAGACCGTGTTGATGCCGTGGCCATACCGAGCCAGCAATTTTCAAATGCGTTTTGCTCAACTGCCCTGAATTACATATGTCTGCACGACTTGTCATGCACACACTGCACAGTACTTGCTTGGCAATTCACACGTTGTTTTCCAGCGAACCTTGCTTAAAGAAAAGGAGCATTTTGTCGCAGTACGTTTCGATGGGAAAATTGTCTAAAATGTCCTAAACCTATTATACTTTTGCCAATTTAGTCATAAACCTTTTAAGTTTACCAATTTAGTCTTAAACCTTTTCACTTCTTACCAATTGAGTCTATCTGGCCAATTTTGGCCGGTTGGCACTGACTTGGCCGCCAGCTGGTGCCGGTCGTCCGGCTAATGCTGATATGGTAATTTTTTAATATTTTTTTCGAATTTTTTAATATTTTTTTTGCCCTTCTTCGCTCTGGCTAGTCTGACGACAGGCGACTAGCCAGAGGTGCAGGCTGGCAAGGTTGGTCTCGCCATGGCTGGGCGAGGCTCAACCTCACCGGATTTGGGCGAGGTCGGCTTGGCAGCGATGGGCAAGGCTCACCCTCGCCAGTGGCTGACGGGGGTAAGCTTCGCCAGAGGCCGGTGAGGTCGACCTTGCCAGCCCGCACCTCTGGCCGGTCGCCAGTCGTCGGACCGGCCAGAGGGAAGAAGGAGACCCAGACTGGCCAGAAGGAAGAAGAGCAGAAAAAATATTAAAAAATTCGAAAAAAATATTTAAAAATTGCAATGTCAGCGTTGGCCGGACGTTCAGCGCCGGCCGGTGGCCACGTCAATGTCGGCCAGTCAAAATTGGCCGGATGAACTCAATCGACAAGAAGAGAAAAGGTTTAAAACTGAATTGGTAAACTTAAAAGGTTTAGGACTGAATTGGCAAAAGTGCAGTAGGTTTAGGACTTTTTAAACAATTCGATGCATATAACAAAGACCATTAAAGATCAGTTCCTAGTCAGCGCCATTCGAGTCTGCCCAGCTTGTTCCTACTTGCCCTTTTCTAACTTCGCTTATCCACTCGGGCATGAAAGGTCAACCGATGATTAAAATGAAGACACATTGAATTACAAATACATCTGCAATCGAATTTGTCCTCTTGATTTCTTGAAATTTCCACTTACATGATTCAAAGAGACCCCCAAGAAAAAAGAAAAAAGAAACGTGTCACATAACTATTGTATGCTCAAACTAAACCGTCTAGCGTCTACTGTATACACAAGTTGATCAAGTCCATCGTCGTATCATCCGTCAGGCGGGTCCAAAGCACAGCCCGTGGATGTTGTTGTTGTGGCCGTCGTGGCGATGGCTCTCGCTCACGACCCTGTCAATCATGCCCTGCACATTCCGGAACTCGTCGACGTGGCAGGGGATGTTGATGGTTCCCTTCTGGTCGAACCCGTACTCGTCCTCCGCCTCTCTCAGCAAGTCCATGAACAGCGGGTGGTTCACGTAGGCCACCGGGATCACGAACCGCTGCTGCTCCTCTCCTTGCCCCACGGATATGGCCAGGCACCCCCTCGGCACGTCCTGCAAGCTGTCTTGGTGGTGGTGGTGGTGGAGGTGAATGTGGGGCAAGTGGAGATGAAGGCTCGTATGGTGGCGGCGATACCTGTCGATGCTCATCACCATCTTAAAAAAACAACGAGGGAAACCCAGCTTGAGGCAGCGTGAACCTCTCGAAATGGGATCTTGAGGGGCTCTTCCCGTTTCGCCAATCAAAGAGAGAGAGAGAATGGCAAGAGTGAGAAGTGAGGAGAGGATTGAAGAGGTGGGTGTTCTTATATATACAGGTGGGAAGGGATTGAATTGAAAACCGAGGAAGGTCAAGGGGAAGGAGAATTCCTAGTGCGGGCATGGGAAGGGTTTTGATTGGGGACGAAGGAGACGAGGAAAAAGTCGTATCTGGGGTCGGTCGTTGTAGCCGTCCACGTGTGACGTGCGAGTTCCCGGTCAAATTCATCTTTTGCTGCTTATTATATAGTTTTCAATTCGGATAAGTATTAACCCCTTTTTCAAATCGTTTCCGAAGTGAATAAGGGAAGGCTAATCCCTGCATAAAGCCAAAAAACAACATTTATTAACAAAATAATCTAAGTTACAACCTGTGAATCTTTCGTTGTTTTCAATTTCAACACAACACAATTTGCAGCCCAAAACATCAGATTTTTCAAGATAAGTTTTGATAGTTTTCCTGTCTCTTTTGAAACTTCGTGCGTAGAGTTTTCATTTTATTATATATTTTTTGTATTTTTGCTACGCATGCACTGATTAAAAAAACTAGAACATGATCAGTTTAAGTTTTGGGTGAGATGTCTCATGACGGATGACGACTTCAAATGGGAATTGATGACCGCTTGCTGTAGTTTTCTTCGCTGCGGGGGAGACGTTGCGACCCGTTTTTCTTAAATGGACATGTCCAAAACGAGCAAGGAACTAGGGAAAAGTCAATATCCTTCACGAGATATATACGAAATTGCAGACATTTCAGGCAAGAGAAGTTGCAAATCTTCTACGTAAGCCTTTTGATCTCGTGCCAGCTCAATTTTCGACATCAGGGTACTTCGATAAATACTAATTTGATAGATAATAAATACCACCCCGTTCATAGATAATCATCGTTTCTTAACGTTTTGAGTGACGGGTTATTGCAACGGAAACTATGAAAATTAGATGTTTCGGACATGCATAAGTTTTTTAAACAAGTGAAAAGCTCATGCAAAAATATGGTTGACTCGTTTATACATTTAATAAAATTTTACTATTATAAATCCCAAGGATATGATACCATTCTCATGTTTAGCTCCGTCCTTTCCATCTTATTTACATGAATTAATCTTTCTCACAATTAGATCATAAGAATTCCCTTTTTTTTTGTTGGGCTAATTCCCTAAAAAAAACTCCCAACTTTAGGCCCAATCTTGATTATGCACTAAAATTTTTTTTTTCCTGAAAAAAAAAATCCACAGCTTTCACTCTAGTCCCAAATCTGTCCACTTGTCCAAAAATCGTCACTGGTTTCTTCATGATTATCAGCTTTAGGAGGTTGCTATTGTTCCATACGAATGTAATGACACGAGTTCTGATAATGAATCTCTAACTGGCCTTGATGTTGATAATCTTTAAAAAAACTAGTAGCGATTTTTGAACGCCTGGGCTGATTCGGGACTAGAGTGAAAGTCGGGAATTTCTTCCGAGACAGGATTGAGATTGGATCTAAAACTGTGATTTTTTTTTATTAGGGGAATTAGGCCTATTCTTGTTAATTTACTTGTTCAAATTTTATTCGGGCTAGGTTTTAGGCAAGTGGTAGTGTTAAAATTGAAAATGTGACTCTTCATTCCCGAAATGAACAAGTTGAATCTTGAAGGAAGTTGTCACAAGAACAAGAACGAAGGAGCTCGACCGATGACAACCGGGGAAACAGTTGTCCCAAGGTTACCGAGCAAAAAGACATTATTACCCCTGGAAAAAGTCGCGCGACTGGCGTACTTTTAAGGAGAAATGTATAAAAATCACAGGTTTGACTTTCCTTGGACACGGCGAACATCAGCACGTGGGGGCCGTGAGGAGCCTTACGCACGTTTCGAATATGACCAAATTGGCTGCGGAGGAAAAAAAAATATATATTTGCGCAGCCGACAATGCGAGATCACGTCGCCGTCTTTGCCTCTTTTTTTTTTTTTTTTTTTTTGTTTTGGCCATTTTCGTATGTTGATTTCGCACGTTTAGCTCGGGAACCAACTTCCATCACCCGCCCCTTGGGCTCCACGGTTGGAAGATTTGGAAAATTGAGCTCCTGCTCGAAAATCCGACTCTTTGAGTAGAATGTTTGTCGGAATTCATTACCTATTCAGGAGAATTTATTTAAGAGAAAAGCCTTACCTGACCCCGCTCCGTCCCTTATGTCTACCAGAAAAGCCCTGTCATGCGGTGCCGTGCATGTCAGCACCTGCGCTGCCATGTGGAATGGTTGGTGTCCATATTAGCGATTTCCAGCTAAAATTGACCGAACGGATTCAATTGGCAAAACCCGAAGATGTTTAACACTAAATTTGACACAATTGAAAGGTTTAGAATTGAATTGGCCCAAGTGCAATAGGTTTGAGACTTTTTTTGTGATTATTCCTTTGAAAACAAGAGAGCATCTCTTCCTTCTATGCCGATCGACAAAAGAAATTTGGTCGGATCCAAGACTGAAGGTCTAGATTTCGCTCCGGGATATCACTAGAATGACTAAGTGGGTGTCTCGATTTTTTTGAGTCAAAAACTAACTTAGTTTTGTGGTATCTCTGGAGAGCACGAAATGCATTCATCTTTCAGCACCGGCAACCAGATCCGAGCTCAATTGTCGATGCCGACCTCGCCATGAACAAGAACTTCCGGAGATGGAACCCAAAAACTGTTACTCAAGATAGAAGGCGAGTAAACCAACCGGTAGTGTGGACTCCACCGGAGCCGAGCTCCCTGAAAGTCCAACATCGATGGTTCTCCATTCGAAGGATCCTTTGCAGGAGCGATTGCAGGTGCATGTTGGGATTCGAACGGAAACTTGGTCGACGGGTTCGCTAAAATCACCAGAGCTTCATTTGCAATTGGCGTCGAAACCCTAGCGCTTGTAGAGACCCCCACGTACTCGGAGCTGCGAACTGATCTAGGGCAAAGAACTTATCTGCGGGCTGTTGTTGAAACCGATAGGTCATCTCTTTTCCATTATGTATCGGGCGCTGATCGAAGTCCATGGAACTTGCGAGCTTTGTCCTCGCGAAGCCAATCAGCTGACCGACGGGGTAGTCAAGTTCCGTTGTAAGCAGGCCCTTCCATCTAATTGGTTGTTCAAAGATATTCCCTGTTCGAAAGCCTATCAACTTTGTTCTAAAAGTGTTGGTTAATCAATTGAGAAGGCTTTTTTTCGACAAAAAGGAAAAACTCGGACAAACAAAAATAATCCAATTGCCCATTTTGCATGTTAACGTTTGAGGGTTATAGACAAACTTTTTTAAATCAGTCATTTGAGGGTTAGTAATGAACCTTTTAAATCATTTTATCCGTCAAATCCAATTTTGCATGTTTGTATCACGTGTTCTCGTAACGGTCATTCACATCTTTGAGCATATTTAACTCGTCGGGTTAAATTCAAAAACCGTGCATGAGACTTTCATCTCGTGCAAACTCGGTTGAGAATTTCCAAATCGTAGGATGTCATTGGCTGAGGAGGATCACAAGTTGCGCAAATTGTCGTTGACAAAACTCAAGCAGCTCATTTCGGAGTCCCATACTCCAAAGTTTTCGTGGATGTCCATGGAAATCTTGTTCCTTAGAGCGTTGACCAAGTCAAGTCAACCCCGGAGTTTACCCCGTTCCAGAATAAGTCGGAGAAGCCTAAGTTTTCAGAAACAGGCTCAAAGGTCACGACAAGCATATGCAGAATGGAGGAAAACTGATCAGCATTGTTTAATTTTGAGTTTTAAATCGCATGTTGAAACATTAAAATGTTGGATCGAACGACACCGAAGCATGGATACACATGTTTATTCAAATGCCATGTCCTAATGCATGTCATTCGTGCATTATTCATTTGATGGTAGCGCAAAATTTTTTGCCTAATGATTTATCGAACAATGTTGAAGCATCGTTTTATGACGTCATTTCATTATTCGCCGTGTTCATGACTCTATCGAACCGATCTATTCTAGTTAGAGAAAGCGTGGACAATCTCACATTCGAACAAAATTCGCCCTTTTCTTGCTGAGAATTCTTGGAATTGGAATTAAGAGAATCTAAGAACACAAGTTCCTACGACTTAACCACAAAAAAAAATAAAATAAGCAAAAGATTGAATTCTTACGATCAGTAACTTCAAATTCCTCTCTTCCGCAAAATGCATTCTCGTGCACCACCAAACTCCGCAAAAGACTAACGATGTCCCCGTCCGTCCGAATCAAATGTAGTGTAGAATTCACTAATGTTGTCCCTTTTCACACTTTTACCCCCATCTCCTCCGCCTGCGGTCTCCGGTCCTCCTCCCGCAGTGACTGCTGACTCGGGCTCCACTGGCAGCACTCGCCGCCGGCGGCCAAAGCGTCGATGATTGGCCGAATCACCAAAATCCCCTCCCCCGCCACGGTGCATGCCAATGTGCATAGAAAAGCGCCGAACACCATGCCCTTGTAAACGGCATGGTCCGGCATCCACATCACCGAGACCCCCAACAGCAAAATTTCCAAGGGCAGCGACACCAAGACCGCGGAGGCGAGCACGTAGATCCGAGTCCTCAGTCCTTTGTTGATGACGAGGGACATGACCTTCCAACATGACAAGAGGAAGCACAGCGAGAACGTGACCCCAAATGCTCCGAACACGATGATGGACATCAATGGGTACGTGCACAGGACCGTGTCGTTGCCGGACTCATCCTTGGAGATGTATGAGCTCCGCCCAAAGACCTCTGGCAATAGCAGGTCTATCGGCTCGAAGAACACGAACACGATTTGCAGCAAGAGGAGGGGCAGGCAGGCGCCGAACACGAATGCGAGGGCCCACAGGCGGCACGGGTCCTTCTTCTTGATCGAGATGTTGACGAGGAAGAGCACGGTTAACAGGAAGACGGGCTCGCAGAGCCCTAGCGAGAGGACGACGTGGAATTTGCAGAGGTCAGCTTGTTGGCCTTGTGTCAAGGAGGGCAGGAACGGCACGAGGTAGTGGCGCCGGAAGAAGGGCACACGGAGGAGCTCGACGAGGGCCCAGAGGGTGGTCGAGGAGATGAGGAGGAGGCGGACGGTCCAGAGGGAGTTGAAGTTACCGAGGTGCGGGGCGGAGCGGGACTTGAGGCAGAGGTGGATGACGAAGGCGAACGAGAGGGAGGACAGGAGGAGGAGGACGGCGACGAGGGCGAGGAGCGCGAGGTCTACGGCCGTGTCGAGGGGCAGCAACGTGGGCACGACGAACATCTGAAACCGATTGGCACGCAAACGGCGTCTCCCTCCCTCCCTCTAATCTATCTCCGTGTGCTATCTGAAATCTTGATAGTTGCAGAGGGATATCAATTGGAAGGAGATGAACGGGTAAGGGATAAAGCGATCATGCTCCGCGTGCATGGAACTGCATGGGATTGGCATTTGCAGGAGGGAACTGGGATTGGTAGAGACGCACAGAGAGAGAGAGGGAGAGAGAGAAACTGAGTTTTCTTTTGTTCCTTTTGTCTCTCTCTCTCTCTCTCTTTCTTCCTCACATCGCTCTCTCTCTCTCTCTCTATTGCTTTTTTCCCCAAACGGAGAGAAACAGAAGGCGGAGGAAATCAGATGAACAGAAAGATTATGGTGTTTCAGAGAGAGAGAGAGAGAGAGAGAGAGGGTGCATGGATTTCGGGAATGGACGGTTAAGAGGAGTTGGGTTTAGGACATGGCTGGACAGATCGAAGCATCGTTACGATTGAGGTGGTGGTGGTGGTGGCGGCGGGGGGAGCGTTCGTTGGTTGTGTCGTCGACGGTTGATGGAAAATTGGAGTTTTTTGTCTTCGCTTCTGTCGTTTGGCGTCGAGATTTAGGATCTTGTGGACATGTCCTTTCCATTGCACGTTCGTTTATTTAGTTAATTAATCACGGTTGTGTCCCCACACGTAAATTGCGTGGGAAAGCTAGTAATTTACAGTCGTTGATCTGTATAGATGAGAAGAAGACGGATGAACGAAACAAATGGGCAGTGTGTGCACAATTTAAAACATTCGGTTTCGTTCATGTGGATCTTCTTTCATTACTAGATTCCTCGTGTTTAGGGGTGTGCAAAATGGACCGCCCAAATCGGAAACAACCCGATTTGGTCCGGTTCCCAGGAATGTCGGTTTGATTCCCAGTTCCTAAAAATGAAAACAATGTCCGAGCGGTCTAGTTCCCGGTTCCAAGGGGAATCGGACCAGACCAGACTGACTGGACCGAACCAATTACATATACTTTTTTTTTTGTGATTATATGTAGTCGGCATGGGAAATACAATTCCAATTTTAGAATATATGTGTAGTCGTTATGGGGAACACAATTCTAGTTTTAAAATATATGGTATCAAGTACTGGGAAAAAAAAAGTGAAATCGGTTCTCCTGGTTCGGATCTTGGCACCTTGAAACTAGACCAGACCAGGAACCGATCACCCCTACTCGTACTCAGAGAAATATATATGAATGTACATTTTATATGATCTTCGAGTTATGAGGTATTGGTATTGCAAATAGCTATATTATTATTCGGATAATACCAAAGTTTTGATAGGTAACATGGACATAAGCTCATCCGTCTTCCACTATAGTCTCTTATGTCGTCTTCAAACACGAGATGACAACACATGGACACGCAATTTGTACTCATCTATGCCGGATCGAATCCCGCGATTAAGTCCTAAGCCTATTGTATGAGTGTCAATTCAGTCATACACTTTTCTATTTGGCCAATTTAGTGCTAAGCCTTTTGATGATTTGCCAATGTTATCCTTTTGGCCAATTTTTGCCGGAAATCGCTGACGTGGATGTTGGCCGTCTTACATGGCATAATCAGCACTGACGTGGATAATTTTTGTAATTTTTTAAAAATTTGCTAAATTTTTTTCCTTTTCTGTTGTTTTTCTTTTTCCCTCAATACTCACTAATCATCTTCTTGAAAAGGGTCGCCGGCCACAGGGCGAGGGCCACGACCCTTGCCGAAGCACCGTGCACTTCTAGAGCTTAAAACCACGTAGAAGTTGCTGGAGGAGGTCCAACATAGGCGATGGCAACCGAAATCTGCTTGTTCAACAAGAAGCGAGGTGGTCGGTGAAGGAATAGAAGTCGTCAACCAAGTGAAAAGACCACTAGGGCTTCGGCTGTCAATGCGTGTGGTGTAGGCGGCCCTCGCTAGCGCTTGGGCAGTGGCGCAACCCTCCTTGTCACCAACTCCTCCTCCGAACCCTCACCATCCCAACAAGCACAGCCATTTCCTATTGAAGATATCACCGCATTATCTCTCTAGATCTTTCTTGATTAGTCTTGACCTTTTGTATTTCAATGACTAGTTAATGTGATTGTTTGTATTTGTTCTTGACCTTTCGTGCTTCGATATCTAGTTAATATCAAATAAATGTATAGTCATTTATGAGTCATATCAAGAATCATGTATTATGCCTATATAAAGGCAAGTCCAGTTGAAGTATTTGCAAGGCGAATCAAGTCATAATAAAATAGTTTATTCCTCTCCTCTCCTTGAGTGGTTTTCCTAGAGAGTTACCAATTAAAGTCGTTCACCTTCGAGAGTTGCTGACGATAGTTACCGATGATCGAGGCTTTCACTTTCAAGTGTTATGCCTCTAAAGCTTAACATTTCCCTCGCACCTCTTGTAATCGGCTGTGACAGCGCAAGCTCGCCCTAATCTGATGAGCAGGGGCTGCGAAGGCCCTCGCCCAGATCTCGGCCCTCGCCCCTGTGGCGAGTGAGGGTTGCCGGCCACTAGGAAGATGAACAATGAGTATTGGGGAAAATTGAAGAAAAAAGAGAAAAGGAAAAAGATAAAGAAAATTAACAAAACTGTAAAAATTGTCTACGTTAGCATCAGCTGTGCCACTTAGAATGGCCTGTGTCCATGTCGACAATTTTCGAACAAAATTGGCCGAAAGGACTGCATTGACAACTTGTCAAAAGGTTCATGACTAAATTGATCAAATTAAAAAGTTTAAGACTAAATTGGCATACGTACGGTAGGTTTATGACTTTTTCAGTAACCCCCTCCCCTCCTTAGCCTCTACATCGGCCGTATCCCAGCAGCGGCCTTGGCCACTACTCAACTATATGGAGTACATAAATTCAAGAAGAGGATTTCTATCGCAAGGAAAAGGAGAGTGATAAGAGCCCATTTTTTACTGATCGGAGGTACTACATTGGGAATAGCAGAAGCGGGTGATTGCAGGGTGCGATTTCTTCTCTTATGCTTATGAGGACATATCAATCACGCTTTCCTGCCAGGCCATGCATGACTCATCTCGGCCTTAACTGATTCTCAAACGTAGATTCTCTGATTCGTCTTTTAGGTCTCTGCGGAGTGAATATCATCCAAACTCATCTGATTAGGTCTACTCAAACATTTACAGAAAGAAAGGGTATGGTGAGTCTTCGATCGATCTTGTCGGAGTCCCGCAAAGTACTGTACATGGCATTGGAATGTATTGCGATAATGGCCGATTGAGTTTACATGATATTGTGGCGTATAGATGGGCGACTTTTGATGATGCTAAAGATCTTGGTTAATGAATGAGCTTAGGTTTTGGGAATCCATGATCCGTCGTTGTGATAATCGTGTATATATAGTCGCAACTTCCCAGGACTAGAAACATTAGAAACGAAAAAAACCTTGGATTTAGAGATGACGCTTGCGGATATATGTCATCTGCATAAGTTTCGAATGAATCTAGTTAGTAAAAGTGAGAGAACAGGAAATCCGTATTGGATCAACTCGATATCTTCGAATGAGCATATACGAGATGGGACTACTAGCAGAATATAGGAAATGCTCGACACCCTTCCTTAATAGCACTAACCACTTAGGGTTTCAAACAACCGCAAACATGATATTAATTCTCTAACACATTGTGCGATTTTGATTATTAGTATATAAGCGTTCAATGATTCTTATAATTTTCTACTTAGAAGAGAGGAAAGGAAGTAGCAGGTAGTGCCAAAATGTTAAATGGTTTTCATCGTCCTTAATATACTTCCTCATGCAAAGTGAAAAACAAATTCCAGATATTACCCGGCCTCGGCCTGCTCTTAATCGACGTTAAGAAAGTATAACTGCTTCGCTAACATCGACCGTATTTGAAGAGTGATATGCCCAAGAATACATGTACAGTCCCAAAGCCTGCCTGCACAGCATAATCTTTGGGGAAACAGCTCGTATCACTGTTATTATTATTGTTATTGTTGTTATTGTCGCATCGTCACTATACAAATGTGCTATCGTACAACATTTGCATTTCTGTAATTTTGTTGTCCTTTTGCATTTGCATCGTAGCTTTTAACATCACGTTATCAGATTTGGATTAATATTAAACTAACGAACTTAGAAAGTGATCATCGCAACAACAATCATCGGGCTCCCGCTCGTCTATTTTCGTTCTGGTTTTCTTTATCCTTAAACTTTTGCATCCAATTTCCTGTCCCTTACTGCCATGGATATACTATTTTCTTTAAGACAACCACTGAATAAACTCGACATCATTATAAATAAAGTATTTATTCTTCTTAATGCTGGTGAAGAAGATTGCTCTCGTCATTGTCATTTCGTAAGTTAAAAGATAATATTTTCCTGTAAAGCACTCCAAGTAAACAACTCAATATTAAACCCTTTTCATCCAAAGATCGTCTCGTGAGGAAGACATTTCAAAAACCATGTCGCACGGAGTGAAAGCGAAAACAGCCAGAGGAACTGCATCTCCAAAGTGAACTTTCGAGTGATTCTCGACGGTGACGACACTGAAGCGAAAAAAGGGTAAGAGCAAAAGTCTGGACTCAGACGTGAACAGCAAACGCAATCGAGCCAATGCATGCATGCAAAGCTGCAGGACTCTTTCTCTGAAGTCAGAATACGAGAGCACGAAAGAAGCAGTTTTAACTCCGAGTTTGGGACTTGTGACTTTGCTGAAAGCTACCACTGCATTCACTGCAAGCTCTCTGCTTTGTTAGCTCCTGACATCTGTAACTTGTCTTCTCGAGAAGTCTCTGCGTGCGTACGTGTGTTTGAAGGGGAGGGAGAGAGTGGGGGTTGGTTCAAGGCTAGATTCGATTCTTGCATGATGGGTTAATCCTAGATATTGTCGTCGTCCACGTCATTTTATCATCAGCGAGAAAGAAATGTTATCACCATGCACAAATGAGATGAAAGGACGGACAGGACAGCGTGTTCCTTTCGTCGTTTAGCATTCTTTTTCCTCGTTTTGCGTACCAAACCACCACCATTCACCATCCATTCACTATGTTATGTGTCCATTCGCACTTGTCTTTTGTTAGACTGCTGAGTTTAATATCTGCCACCGAGTGTTTTTCTTATTGTAATACCTAGATTACACTACCTTATACCGACAATCTTCTGTACTCGGCATGAAAATGGAAGACTGAAAAGATGGTATTTGAGCATGAAAATTTCGGGACAACACAATAAAGAACTTCCCCTAAGCTGACAAAAATCTGTACAGATTGAAGTTGAAGGACGCCAATCAAAGATAAGTACATCGTTGAAGTTGCTTTCAACAGTTTTACTCACCTTATTGTGGTCAAACACGTATCATCTGTGAAATAGCATTACAGTAAAAAAAAATATTCTTCATATACACGGCTGATTCATTCCTCACAATTTGCAGGTGATCAATTACGCACTTAATTACTGAAAATGCAAAATCAACAGATATATAGAAATCTCACGATGTTAGAACAAGAATGACACTCAACGATTATCACCATGTTTTTGGTCCCAATATGGGACGACACGACCTAAACTACAGGAGCTATAGTCAGCCTTGGCCAATCCCATTGGAACCTCATGGTTCTGTCCTTTGGCATTAGTATGACACGGTAAGGGATTTACTCATCGGTCGGCAACTCTAGTAATATATGCTTTCACTTAAGCCCTCTTTAAAGCGGAGTTTCAATATTCATCAAAGATCTCCTCGGTTGGATCTACATTCACATGTGTAATCGGCAACAACCTTCCATGTTTGATACATGTGATTTAGTTCATTTATTTCCTACTCTATCATCCTAGAAGCCAATCAGGAGCTTTCCTTCATATCCTCGACCCAGTGGTACACAAGATCTCTACTGCAAAACTTGAGCTAAAAGCACGAACTTGAAAGCTCCCTGTTTTATTGATCTAAAGAAGTGATATTTCAGTGACCAAATGTCTAAAAGGAAAAGACAGAGGGACCCCTTATCTTGAAAGAGATTCATGAAATCAGCCCTTAGAGTGAAAATTATTATTATTTGTTTACATCCATAATGCTGCCTCTTGAAGTAGTCGGTGCAGCTGGATGTCATGACTGATGATAAAAGTTCAATTTTTTTTATAAGAGATTAGGTGGAAATTTATGGCGCGTTAGACATTTGGTAAAGTTGGAATACATATGGTCTAATTCAAGCAAAAGAAAAAAGGGATGGTTCAAGCGATGATCCATTTTCATTTCCAGAATTTGATACTTCCTTCTCACCTCAGCAATACTCAACCCTAAAACGAGGGAGCAGGTTCATCATTAAGGCTCGATTCATACAAAATTTTGGGGGTATATGATCACCAAAAAAAGAAGTAAAAAAGAACAAAAGAATTGGAAGATGGGTTGGAGAGGGCCTGAAGTTGTAACAGACAGAGCAAGATGATAATACGGTTGGATCTAGATCCATGCAAAGTGAAGCAGCGAGACTGGGCAGACAGAGAGGAAATGAATGATGACAATGTTGAAAAGATGGAAGATGAAGGGGAGGTAATGAGAGACTAATGATGGAAAGAGTGTTTTTTTTTTATGCGGTTGGTCTGAGGGTGTCAGACAGAACATGGGGGCATAGCATGACATAGCTTAGCGACAGTCAAAGCTTCACATCATTACACCAATCTGGCGACACACGGAGACCCTCTTCATCCCATGCAAATGCAATTACGAGCTGATAAACAAAAATAAAATCGACTATTGCATATCTCTCACAGAACACAGGAAACTCCCACAATAACGAGAACAGCTCATGAAAAGCTCAAAGAAGATAGAGAGAGAGAGAGAGAGAGAGAGAGAGAGAGAGAGAGAGAGAGAGAGAGAGAGAGAGACAAAGGAAAGCTACCTTGGGATCTTCGTGACTTTTTGATTCGATTCAGAGGACGCTTGAGGGTGCTATGGTGTGCTCTGCTCTTGAGAGGGATTCATCAATCATTATCTGGAATCTAAGTGGAAGCAAGAATTGAGGGGAATGAAGCCTGGTCCGAGGACATTGGAATAAACCCTCCAAGATTGTGAATCTTTGATTGGTAGTCACTCAAGAACTTGAAGCCTTGAACCAGACAACATTCCCCACAAAACCCAAGCTTCCCATTTCTCCTTCTTCTTCTTCACCTTCATCATCATCATCTCTCTCTCTCTCTCTCTCTCTCTCTCTCTCTCTCTCTCTCTCTCTGATGATTAGCTGTGCGCTTGAGTGTGAGTGTGCGTGATCTCTGTTTTCTAGTCTCCTGCTCTCCCTCTCTCTCTCTGGTCTTTCCCATCCTTTTACTTTTTCGTTGAATTGAATGAGTGAATGAAATGAGATGTTTGTCTCTGCTTATCATGAATGTGAATGCGGTGAATGATGACGATGACCATGATGATGATGGTGGTGACAAAGAGAGAGAGAGAGAGAGAGAGAGGTAGGGGGTGGGGCCCAGGGTCGTGGTCTTCTCTGGAACCCAGCTGTAGGGTTAATGGTGGGTGAGGATCATTGTCTCAATAATTACATTTGGGGGGGATTGGATGCATGCATGCATGCCTGTCTAATTTTGCGCATGATCATGGCCGAGTGAAATCCTGCCGTCGGATCTGGAGGCCATCATTGGTGAGATTCAGGACTGGATTGAATATGAACACCATGCATGCATGCATGCATGACATGACATGACATTCATGATGCGGTCGTGGGGGGGCACGTGGACCTGGAATTCCATTGCCAAGATCTTACTAATCTTTGGTGTGAAACCGGCAAATCTTCCCCGATGGCTTTTTTCTCGACGATTTCCAGGAAAGTAGACGGGGCAAAGTGCAAAAGAGAAAATCAACAAAGAGGAGTGCTGTTGGGTGTCCTATCATTTCAGGTCTCGTGGGCAACGGTTCAGCCTTTAGAAATTTAGATTTGACCCCAAGCCAAGATTTTTCATGTCGGTGCTTTAGATTTTGTGTAGTTTTTCTCCGGGCTTTGATCTTTAGGCGGTTGGACTATAGTCACGTATGAGATGGAGGTCGGGGGCCGGTAAATTAGGAGGTCGCGAGTTCGACCCCCGACAAACGAACACGGCAAAAGACTGGGTGTCGGAACCATTTCGAGAGCCCTTTCGCGGGGCAATTCCGTTCGGAGAAGATTTCAAGCTTTAAGCTTCTTCGGCTTCCGAAATCGAAGAAACCACACTGGAGCTGGTGATTTTACGCTGAGGCAAAGAGGAGCTGCGGTTGCCATTAAAAAAGCAAATGGTGATGGAGCAAACTACAGGAGCTTGGCTCCAAATAGTCAAAGATGGCAATGAAGCAAAAGCCTCCCGAAGTAAAACCGAAGCAAAAGCTTCTCCAGTAAAACCCCAATGCAGTAGTTCTAAAGGGGTTGGTGAAACTGGAACGAGCATGGACCAGAAGAAGACCGCTCACTACTAATGAGATGATATTAGCCAAATCAGAAACAGAAAGATCATATCATAACCCGAAAACTTGCTCAAGGTCATGTCATATCAAAAACCACTATACCATGTGCACCACAATCCTCTCGAGACAACATAATGTCCGAATCTCGGTAGCTGTAGATCTATCTAAACTTTCTAGCGTACCATCTCTCGGAAACATTTGCCACCCATTCGGCGGCTGGTCGGCAATCTACTTGATCTTCTACTTCGGCCTCAGCTGCAGAACAGAACGATAGATTATGCGTCTCTGGTCTCTACAGAAAGCAATATCCACAGCTCAAGAAGGTAGATCGAGCAGTCGTCTACCTGATTGCTGTGACCCACACTTCTTTTTCCTGCAGTTGACCGCACGAGGGTGCGGGCACGCATAGCATCTGCACATCAGATTCCGCTTCGGAATCACGACGGGAGACATACAAACAACATGTGCAAAGCCGTGTATCAATACGAAATTACCGACATTTGCACTCACTCGCGGCATACCATTTTGTCCTGGTTGTACTTCCTAGCCAATGCCATCAAGGACGGCTCTATGATGCCACCACGAAGCCTCAGCACCAAGTGCAAAGTCGATTCCGCAAAATTCCCGTAGATACCCGGTGAACCAAAGTACAATCTCAGAAGATACGACGGAAGCCCTAAAGTTGAGATCCAATCGATAAACCCGGCAACGGTAAAAGTTTTACAATTGGAGATATCGAACCACACCTGCTCGAGCACGAGCCTAAAGATGTAACTCTTGCAGCATTACCTCTCTGCATCTAGACACGCTCGCAGTCATGCTGATGCACTAGCTCCGGGGTCTACACTTGCACTATGCTGGTGTACTATCTTGATATCATTTAAACTCCTGTCGTCGCCAACTCACTCTCCACTGATCATCACTACGACATTTGTTGCCTATGCTCAACAGCCTAGATCACGAGACCTGATCAACACTATCGACTTTCACAATTCAATTCTCATTCGACTGTTTCCTCCAGCTTTAACAGGTCCTCAGTTACCAGGAACAACTCACCTTCGACTATCGCCGCGTCCGCAAGTATGAATTCCCGCAGATGCAATGACCAACTGATCCGAAACAATCACGCAATCAACTCAAACGTAACTCTTATGTCAGGGCTCACTACCTACCTGCCTACGATCGTAGAACGTCGATACGAATAGCGCGCAATTGATCACGCAACCAATATCGAAACTCGCTGAATTCAAGAGCAATCCATGATCCCCGGACTTCTTACGGACCAAAAGAACACGGAAATCAACTCCAACATCTCATCTTCATCCGAATCACGGTATAGAAGCTAACCTTTCTGGATATTGTAATCAGCGAGCGTGCGGCCGTCCTCGAGCTGCTTCCCGGCGAAGATCAGCCTCTGCTGGTCCGGCGGAATTCCTGATCACATTCACGCACGCGCATCACCTAAAAACACATCGAATGAAAGAAAAGAGCAAAGTTCCAAGTCCGATCGCCTCCACTCCATGCGAGAGGGAAAGGGCGAGGACGAGCTGACCTGAGCCGAGCCGGAGCGGCGGTGGCTTCCTTGTCCTGGATCTTGGCCTTGACGCTGTCGATGGTGTCGCTGGACTGGACCTCGAGCGTGATGGTCTTGCCGGTCAGGGTTTTCACGAAGATCTGCATCTTCCCTCACGTCGCGCCGCCGCCTCCTCCGCCGCCCGCAGATATAGCGCCGCCGTCCTGCGGCGGAAGAGAATGCTCGGGGGGAGGGTTTCTGTTACTCACGGCCGGTGTTTGGTTGCGGAGGCTCCGTATTCCGGCGCCGGAGTAAGGTGCTGTTTGGTTACGAGATCCCGAAGTTCCCCCAAAGCTGTGGTGGAATTTGGGCCTTGGATTGGGCTCGATTGAACTTCATTGGATAAATACTAAGTCTCGTTACAAGCCCAAAAGTCCAAACAACAATAACAGCCCAAAAGCCCAATTCCGCCGTTCTAAAACTGGCCCAGCAAAGAAAACTACAGATCAAAAGTCACAGAGATTCCCCAGCTATAATCTTCAACAACTTGATCTTCTCGATCGATTTGCCATTCCAATTTTGGAATAACCAGCCAAAGGCAGATCCCAGCCACCAACAGGACCTTCTTCAAGGCCACGTCTCGGCATCTCACTCCGAGCTCTCTTCGATAAAATCGCAGCAAAGAACGAATATCGTCTCGGTTCTGGCATCTGACCACGGAGAACACGTTGATCGTTCGATCAATTTCCACTTTTAAAGTCTTATCCATGGTTTTGTAATCAGTTGAACAACGGACGACCAGGTTATAAAAACCAAACTTAGGCAAATGTGGGTGGGTCTAAACCAGATTTAGTAATTGTCACTTTATCCAATACAGGTACAGCAGAGCAAGGTCTCGTGGTTAAGGGTGAGCACGGGAACCAACCGGGAACCGACCGGTTTTGGGTAGTTCTGTTAGACTAAAACTGAAGGATTCTAATCATGCATAGAAGAACAAATTTTAGGCACAATTAGAATCAAATGCGGAAAACAGGATCAAAATAAACTGACCTCCAGCCATTGTTCAACTTTACGTTCGTCGGAAATCCACGGTAGTTCGACGTCAATTCGAAGCGATTACGGGCGCACTCTACTAACCCAATCCCCTCGCGTACTGATGATGTATTACCGAATGAGAGGGTTTGCGTTAGACCTTGTGTCTGCCCTTATGGAATGAACGTTCGTCTTTATAAATCGCTTCCCATCAAGGCGGCTACCGAAGAGGGCGGTTGTCACCGAAGGGATACGAAGCGTGGAAAAACCGTATGTGGATAACCGTCACTCAAAAGAGAAAACGTGGATCAAACCCAATGAATAAGTTTTTATTTCAAAAACTATATCCCTAAATGTGGGATCACATTATAAATATAACAAGTTCCTGTAGGAACCGGTTCGATTCTCAATTCCTAAAATTTGGAACCGGTGATAATCGGTTCGATTCCCGATTTCAGGTGGACAGTACCATTCAAATCAGACCGATAGTTTTTTCTCCTTATTACCAAAAGACTAAAGGAAAACAAAAACAAAAACAACATTCATAGACACACGTTCACTCTCCAGTCTCCAAGAGTGTTCCATTCCCGCCAAGAGTTCGAAAATCACGTTCTTTTTTTCCAATCCCTTGTCCGATTCCATTGTTCCATTCCCTACCAAGGAATAGGAAAAAAAAAAAAGAGAAGAAAGAAATCACACCGGTTCCTGGACCCACCCAGTTCGGACCGGTCTGATCCGATTTCAAGACCAAATGGACCGTTTCCCAGTTTCACAAATTGAGAACTGACCATTTTAATTCGGTTCTTAGTTCTAGGGTAGAAATTAACTCACCATGAAACCAATCATCCCTACTCGCGGTTGCATACAAGGCTGCTCAGATCTCATGCTATATATGGCTTGAATCAAAGTGATCCGGGCAAAATATCACAATCTTCATTCATTCTTCACCTTCTGTTAGATAAGGGATACGGTTCTCCGATTCCAAGGAGCGCAAACGAACGATTGAAATTCCACTCGTCAATGATTTTTACCCGACATGAATCGACCAAAGCAAAGAGAGATGCTCTTATCGTGAGGAGGGAGAAGGGCATCCGTCAATGTCTTCTTTTGCACGTCCGTGTACCGTCCACTAGGAAGTGTTGCGCCACGCCTAGTCCCTTTCCCGAGCATCGCCAACTCTTTTAACCTCCATCGAACCTTCAATCCTTCAGGACCAACTCTCCTCCACTACCTTGTTCCGGCGAACCACCCCAGGAAGTGAGAAATTCCAATGGCCGAGACCGTGCCGGCGCCGGCGTCGTCGTCGAAGAGGAAGGTGGAGGTGTTGGGTTCGGAGGAGGAACTTGCGGCGGCCCTCGCCAAGTACGTCGCCGATCTCTCCGGTAAGTTCGTCCGGGAGAGGGGGCTCTTCACCGTCGTTCTCTCCGGCGGCTATCTCATCGACCTCCTCAGGTACGCTCTCCATCTTCCTAGATGAAGTTCATGGATCTTCCAATTTTAAAATGCATCAGCAAATGCGCGCTTATAGTTACAAAGCTTCACAGCCCAGTTACAGTATGCTTGTCGTCTTAGCGCTGAAATTAATAGACTGTAGATTATGCAAGCTGATCTGAAGATCAGCAGGAGCTCTAGCGTGCTTTAGTGTCATGTCCAATTTATTTGGTGATGAAGTGTGTATAAGGGTAGTTTGAATATGATTTCTGTGATTTGTTTCGAATTATTGGGAATGCTCGATGCCCGGAATTTTTCAGGAAACTGGCGGAGCCGCCGTACGTCGAATCGGTCGAGTGGTCGAAATGGCATGTCTTTTGGTTGGACGAAAGGGTGGTTCCTAAGACTCATCCTGACAGTAACTACAAGCTCGCCTGTGATGGTTTGCTCTCCAAGGTAAAATGCCCTAACTTTGACTATGCAAGGAACAATGCATTCTGACTTCATATCTTGAGGCATCTATTAGCAGATCATTGCATGTTGACATAATTGTTAGAGTTGATCTGATTCACCACGATGAACCTTGAGAAGAATAAATTGCTCCGATCCAGAAAGGTTCCGCCATCGCTCATAAGGACGAATGCTCATTCAAGAGAAAATAGGACAGTCATTAGCTGTTCGGATTTCTAGCAATGTGAAAGATGCATCATGAGCAGTTTTTAGATATGAACAAGCTGGTGATTTTTAGCTTGATTTAGATACGACCCGAATCTTGGTGCTTCGATCTGAGGATAGGTTTCTCCTTACAAAGATGAAATGTTTGCTCGATTTTAATGAAGCAATTTCGTCACCTGTGCTTCCCTCAGGTACCGGTTGTTCCTGAAAATGTTTATGCCATTAACGATACGCTGTCAGCTGAGGGTGCAGCAGACGATTATGAGGCCTGTATAAGGTACTTAGTCGAGAGCGGTGTATTAGCTCCATCGGCTGCTAGCAAGTTCCCGAAGTTTGATCTGATGCTGCTTGGCATGGGACCCGATGGTCACGTGGCATCTCTGTTCCCGGGGCATCCTCTCCTCAATGAGAAAGAGAGGTGGGTCACCTTCATCAAGGACTCGCCGAAACCACCTCCGGAACGCATCACTCTCACTTTCCCAGTGATCAATTCATCGGAGTACATCGCTCTCGTGGTTGCTGGGACCGGCGAAGTGGATGCCGTGCACACTGCACTAGGGAGCAGTGGGGATGCTAAAAAGTTACCCGCGCAAATGGTGTCACCCGAGGGGGAGTTAACTTGGTTTCTGGACAAGGATGCGGCTTCTAAACTTTAGAGATTGACGTGTTTGTTGTGATCTGTGTCTAATGCTTGTAAGTTGCTTGGTTTCATCAGCAAAGTAGCTGTATTCATGTGCTGATGCATTCCAAGTAGCTGGTTGAGTTGTGGAATAAGTCTGTGCTTTTAACATTTGCCCTTGTGGACTCTCATAGGGATATGCATGTCTGAGTGATGCTATTTTAGGCCTGTCGTTGCAACTTCATTGCATGGAGAATGCGCAGGCTGTGATCCGGCGTGAGTATTGTGGACTTGAAAATCTGGAGATCCAACTAACAGAGACAGATGAACACTAAAGAATCAAACCAAAAATTTGAAATTTTAACATAAACCAAAGGCTTAAGTTAATGTTAGAAATTGTCGATGTTAAAGAGGAGAGTACTATTGCACTATCTGGGGACTCTCTCCTCGTACAGGGATCACCATCCAGTTAGTCAGTAGTTGGCAATAACCACCCTGCTTTTATCCTCAGATATATTGGCCGACCCTCAAACTATGAAGTATTTTTTCACAGTCAGGACTGCGAAAGCTAACGCTAGGATAAACGAAGGTACGAGAAACTGCAACATATCAATCGGAACTCCAGGGCCCTATCAGGATTGGAAAAAGGTTGCCCATGGCGGAACATTTGTCCGCTTTTGTGGGACGGCCGAGGCATCGATCTCAACTATATAGTATTTTCTCATCATCTCTCTCCCAATATCACCGCGACCCACCTCTTTGAAATCGCCAGTTTCATCTCTTCCGGCAAAAATCGAGAGAGAATGAGATCACGACAGCAAGTATAGCAATCTTGTCCAGAGCATGAAGATTTTAATCATCTCTTTCGTTTTCTCTCCATTTCTCTGATGGCAAGAATCTGAATTCAGGACTACAGATCAGTTGTCTACAGCACAAACTAACTAGTCAAGGAGATCAAAATTTCATCCCCTCCAGGATGGTATTCCAAGAACAGTGTTGCGTGATACACCTGCATCTCAAGTATGCAAATTTAGGTTCACTAACCATTGTTAGCCATAACCTCATTTGATCTTTCTAATAGAGTTTGGTATGTCAAATATTTCCTACTCTGACTAGTATTGTGTGTTTTTTCTTAGTTCTTCCATCGATGATAACCTCAGAGCAGGCAAGAGGAAATACTTTATTAAACGACATCCACCCTCTAGCACAAGTAACGAAAATCTAGTTCCAGTTCTATTCTCAGAGAACTCAACTCCATGGAGTTTCTCCAATGTGAGCAATTTTTTGTTCAGCTTCAGCTCTTCGTGACTTCTAAAAGTAGCAGGCATATCAGAAACGATTTACTGGGTTTCTTTAGGCGCTGCATTCGATCGTACACAGAAAGAAGAACAAACGTGATGGAGGCTCTGCTTGGTTGCTACTTGCTACTGAAATCCCTGAATAGGAACTATTGAGCCAAGGTTTGAACATTGCGTGTTATCTTTGAAAATTTATGATGATTAGCCTTCTGTAGCTACCGGTCGGCCGGCAACTTCCTTTTCTTTTCCCGTGTTATTTTGGCATCATGAGATCCTCCTTTTTCATATAATGAGGTCACCTCTGAATTTTTAGTGAGAAGGCCAACATGAATGAATCTTGCAGAGAATAAAAACTGCAAATGAAAAACCCTTTAATGAAATCATTATGGGCCAACAACACCATCCATTGCTTATATGACTCATCGGGAATTGCGACTCTAATGCAAATTGCACTTTGGTGCTCTATATATACACATAATATAGTGTCAAGGACTTCTAGCAATTATCTCAATCTTATTCATCAGGATGCTGATACATTCTCTATTTGCTTTATCATCTAGTAATCTGTATCATCGGCTATTCTGTTTTCTACCTTATGTGCTCGAAAACTTGCCATACTAGATCTGACTCTGCCATAAGCTTTACTAAGAAAAACGAAACTTAACTTTCTGACCCTTCGATCTGAAATCTACTCTCCCTTCAAAAAGTTCATGCATATTGGAGGATGAATTTTGGCCAGAGCAAGGATCGCCGAAGGAAGAATCCACAGTCCATCGCCACATATCAGACCAGAAGCCACTGCGGGAACCATAAGTGCCGCTTTGTTGCTGTTCAGCTTGTGCCACACGAAAACGATCAGACTCCCCACGCACATGTCGATTGCAAAGTTGGCCCCAACGAGGAAAGGCACGGCCATGGCCATGGGGAGGGGCACCCATTTCCCAATGTTTTCTGGCAAACGGTCTTTTGCCAAGTTGGCCACCACGGCAAAGCCAAAGAAGCCATAACACAGCTGCAAGCAGTGGCGTGGAAGGGCGGAGAAGCCTTCAACGCCCAAAATCGCCATGTTCCGGTAAATGAGGGCATAAGGAGCTTTATATTCTCCGTTTGGATCCCCGATATCAAAAGCCTTGTAGAACAGAATGAATGTAAGGGGACCGACTACGCAGCCTATAGCTGTGCCGATTGCCTGGCTGAGAAGCATCGATCGTGGAGAAGTGAAGGTTAGATGACCGGTCTTGAAGTCGTGCATCAAATCGGAAGAGATGGACACCATCGACTTAATTACGCCACACCCCACGAGCCCGGCAACTACACCGGAATCCTTCCCTGTCATGGCAGCGAGCACAAAGAGCGCCACTTTTCCATAATTGTAGGCCATATTCATGTCAGTAAGACCCGCGCCATACGCATTGCAAAAGCTAAGGGCCGGTGCGAGAATATACGCAACGACCACGTAATACCACTTCAGCTCAGGGAAGATGAGAGGGATCACGATGACGGAGATGATGGAGAAGATAATGTACCCGAACAAAGCCACCTTTAGGGGAATGCTCTCTCTTAAGAAAACTTCATCACGCTGAAGATCATCAAGAGCCTGGTTTTCATTCTCAGGAACTAAAAAGAACAAAAAAGTAAAATTGGGTCAGCCATGTTATGTGGGTGTTCCTCAAGCAAGTACAAAACATTGCATAAATGCCAATTAAGAAAATGAACACAAGGCATTGCATTGCTTTGCTTACATGTTTTACTGTTCTTCTTGTTCATTCTGGCGTAGATGTTTTGAGCAGTAAAATACAGTATTTTGAGGAAATTGTAGAGCCCGTCTCCAAGAATTAGAGAAATAGAAATAAAGACCTGCACAAGCACATCAAGAAACAAGATTACCGCTTAATGGAATATCCATGGCATGGCTTAACGAGATGGTTTGAGGCTTTAATCCTTACCTTGTAGCCACTTAAACTCTTCATGCTGCTCTCCTTCAACGTACTAGGGTACCACTCACCTTTAAGCCTACCTATGAGCGGCCACATTATTCCCCAAGAGAGAACAGCGCCGAGAAGTAAGGACAAGTTCACTAGATGCGGACAGATCATTCCCGCCCCAACGTATGTCATACTGAAGTCAAAGTAAAATCTGCGAAACAGTATATCGTCCGTTGGGTCACGATGACTCAAGAGGCGGCAATAAGGAGGGAAAAAACCAAGTGTTAGAGCACGCACGAGTTTTGCAAAGCTTTCAACCCGAATGTTGGAAATTGGGAAAATCCACAGCTGGTTCCACCTGAATAAAACCACTGAAAGAACCCCCAGAGGAAACTCAACGAGAAAAATTTCGCGAAACCATGGACCTGTTTCCTGCACGACAAAACTTGTTTAAGCTTCCTCGCTCCATAAATCGTGCAGATTTAGAGCCACAAAATTGAAAGGTGAAGCTTGGAAGGTTGTATGCATACTTGGCCATCTCGTCTCCTTTAGGTGTATGGAACCCATTTATGAGGACGGCGGTCGCAGTTCCACTAGGATAAGTTAGCTTGTAGTCAATTATCATTATCTGTCACACAAAAACATATTTAACGTATTGTTTGGTAATTGAGTAATCTCAACAGTTCCGGTAATCCGGAAAACCTGTTAGCACCTAGCACAGATAAATTTGGGGAACATCCAGTAAAAGTTCACTCCAACGCACAGGCGGTACAGAGAACTAAAGGAAGAGTAACATGGATTTGTTTGTACAGTTTTGCATACGTCGAGTAGCATGGCCATGTCGTCAAACACAATGTCATAAAAGAGTTACCTTTCTCAGAGGAACCAATGCAAAAATCCCCACAAAGCTAGTCAGAAAGAGGAAGCCGGTCATCCAACCAATGCCGGGTTCCTTAATGCCCTCGGGACTATTCCCAGGGGTATCCACACCGGCCTGCACGTATGTTTTCCTGTTTAAACCCAGCAGATAAGAACCGAAACCACCTGTACGAGGAAAATATGAACGAGGAATTTTAATCATTCAGGAATATTATTCAGTGCCCTGAATTATCTACAGTTATAAAGATCAAAATGCACGGATATCAGCAGGAAAAGAAGTTCCACCTCCAAAGGCAATGCCATAACAAGCGACCGCGCAGGTTTGAATGATAGTATTCTCCTGCCGCGTGAACGGGGTCGTCACGATTCTGGCCTTGTGCAGCAGCTTAGTCCAAGTCCGGATGAACACATAGGCGAGGAGCGCAGCCGAGACATTAAGGTTCGGAACTAGACCCGTGGTGAGGTTGAGCTTCATCACTATCACGCTGTAAATGATTCCTATGGCTACACTAGCGACAATTCCCCTGACCGTGATCTGTTTCGACCACGGCGCGATTCTTTTCACGTCATCGGGCTCGTTATGCACCTCTTGCATGTCGCTCCTATCGAATTTCTCCTCCGCTCTCACTTCCTCAATGTTCATGCTCCCCATCATTCGATTGAAAACGTCGAAAGGTCCGGTTTTTATCTAATTTATAAAAGGAAAAGAAAAACCGGATCAAATCTCGATATGCCAATAGAATGTACAGGTGTATCCATACGCATACAGCACCAGCTCATGAAATTTGAAAGGTCAGCAAGCTCACCTCAGTTTTCTTCTTCTCGAGGAATTCAGCCACAGAAGATGAGATCTCTCCTGGGCCTAACCAGCACTGTCAAGAACCCAAATCGCTTTCCCAGCTTCACCTGACCCCGCTTTGAATATCTAGAGCAAAAGGGCTGCTCCTGGGTTTGACTCTCTATTCAATACCCAAATCAGAACATTGAATGCTTCATTGAGAATCCCCCACGAAGCAGAGCATTGACTGCAGCGCTGAAAACAAAATCACTCGCCTCAATTGCATGCCCACACGCCGCACAGCACAACGAAGCGCAAGAACCCACAATTTATATCAAATCGAAAAGGACATATAATTGACAGTTGAAGCCCGAAAATGGGAGAAAATCGGGGAAGCGTCTGAAAATTTGTACTGCAAATAAGTACGAGCAAGCGTTTTGCAGTACGCAAGCCAAATTTCCCATATAGAGCTTCACTTTCCACATGTGTCAAACACATGTCGGGCTGTGATTGCCGATCCTTTGCGTTGACTCAAAACACTCCTCCGACCCCCACTAACCTTCTTCTTCTCCATCGAGCTCAAAGGGAAACGAGAAGTGGGCAGTGGATAGAATTGGCGATTGTCATCGTCACTCGCGAAGGCAAAGCGTTAAAAGAAACACCCATCTCTCCCTTGTCCCTCCCTCTTTTGTCTTCTTCCCTTCAAAGTGTGACCACTTTTTATCCCCGAACGTGGGGGCTACGAGGATGACGCATGGGAATCGAAGAACAAAGGTGTGAACCTTTTGAAGTCAAGCAGACCCACACAAGGAAGCCAACATCAAGACAGAGACAGATGGGGAAGAAGACGTTGCAAAGTTCCGATTTTTATACGAAGCTTGAGGGGAGTGCGGTCTTCTTGTTTGATCAAAAGTGGACGAAGATAACCTCCTATCGCAACTCGGATTTTCTTTTTTATTTTTTTGATAAATATTTTACTTTTCGTCTATGAAAACGAGCTCGTGTCCTTTTTGTCTTTTTTAATAAATAGTTTACTTTTCGTCCTACTATTTATTTATTTATTTATTTGAACTCATGCCTCGAGACAAAAGTATTCATTTTTTAAAATCATTTAATATATGTTAATCGAGTCACACGTTATCCTCTAATACATCGCTTAGCACTTTTAAAAAAATTGATGATAGCACGTTAGATTTGGAAAATTTCAACCGTCTATTTGAAAAAGTTATTTTTTCTCCAAATATTTTAAAAAAGTTTAAGACTTTTGATTAAGGTGTAATTTGATATTGGACAAGACGGACTTTTCCAATTATTAGATTTGATACTTTTGTTAACTCTCTAAGTTTAGCACTATTTTTTATTTTAAAAGAAATTGGTGATATCACGTTGGATTTGGAAAATTGTAACCGGCTAATATAAAAAATTTAAGACGTCTTATTAAGACATTATTTAATATTCAAACAAGATCCGTAACAACGAACTTTTTCTTTAACTCCTACCAAAATAGGATAGCGAGGAGCGATAAAAGAAAATTCAATTATTAAATTCAATATTTTTTGTTGACTCTCTAAATTTTAAGTGAGTGTGCATGAGTATGGAAGCTTTTCTCAAATAGTCCGCATTTGAGGCACACAAGAACGCCAATTTTTAATCCGACTGCCGTTTTTGACCGAAAAAAAAAATCCGATCGCATTTATTTAGATTTGTCTCGATGTACTTTTAAGGCAAACGGTGATCAATTCTCTTTCATATCTCATGCATATTACGTCCGACATATCATTGACAAAGCACATCACATCTATACATCATTGCTTAATTATGGCAGATTATTCTTGACGAGATAATTTCTTAATCTGATGAATCAATTGTCGCTTCTTAATCATCACGTAAGTTAAGTTAGATTTGTAATTTATAGAGAGGGAAAGCACCAAATTCGACATACGTCAATCTTTTAATAGAGAGGATTAATATCAGAAAAAATTCTAAATCGGTACACTTATGAGACAGATTCACCCAAACTAAAAATCCTAAATTAGTAATTTGTGACAATTTTATCTTATGTTAGTTTCAGTTAAATTTTTCCCAATCAAATTTCTGAGTTGGATGACACGTGATAATTGACGAGTGTAACAGTTTGAAGTTTTATCCTCTGTTTATCACATATGTATCATTTTGTGATTTTTCACTATATTAATCAAATTTAACGGATGATAAATTTATTACAAACGTATTAGTTTGGGGTTTTTAATGATAAAAAAAATTCGTTTATGGTGAATCTGTCACATGTTTATTAGTTTGAGATTTTTTATGACCAAAAATTTAATTTGAGATAAATTTATCAATTTATGATTTTTCATGATATTAATCATAATAAAAATGATATCTATTGTGGAATTAAATTATCAAAATTTCTCAATTTAAGTAATCAGGGTCTTTTAAGTTGTAAGATAGGGGTAAACTAGTCCTTTTCGTCGTTACATTAACATACTTTTATCGCGTCGATGTGACTGGCTGGCGGCATTACTTTTCCGTTAATTTCTAATATAAAAAAGGGGAAAAAACGTCAGTAAAAATCAAATTGAAATATAATAAGCGTTGAAAGAAAAAAAGATTCGCTGGTCAACTCGGGCAATAAAAAATGGGTGGTGCTGACAAAAGATGGCCTGTGTTAATGATTGTTATGAGAAAGTTAATATAATGACGTTTTTGTTTTAAGAAATAATTTCTATTCAGAAATATTTTATTTTTTAAATAATTTTTTAAGTACAAAAATAAGTTTAATAACTGTACAAAATTTATATTCTCGAAATAAAAAAGAACAGAAATGCATTTGGTAAGACACTAAGAATTTATATTCTCAATTTTTTCATTTAATTATAAAATTATCAGTGGTGACTTAACAATTCGTGTTAGAATAAAATTAGACTAGAAATAAAATAAGAATATAGTATGATATATAATTGGATGACCTTAATATAATCATAAAGAAAATTACTCTTTATAAACAAAGCAAATATCCTGTGATAGTCGAGGAAATTGCAATTTAGGGAGTAAGAGTTTAGGACTTTGGGTTAGAGGTTGGGGTTTAAGGATTTCGATTTTAAGGTTTAAGGTTTGGGGTTTTGGATTTTAGGATTTGGGATTTAGGTTTTAGAGTTTCGAGTTTGGGGTTTTGGGTTTAGTATTTCGGTTTCAGGTTTGGGGTTTAAGGGTTTGGATTCAGGGTTTAGTGGTTTAGGGTTTTGGTTTTGGGATTTAGGTTATAGGGTTTAAGGTTACAGTTTAGGGTTTGGGGTTTATGGTTTAGGATTCAGGGTTTTGCGATTTAGCATTTTAGGATTTATGGTTGGAATTACGATTTTAGGGTTTAGGTTTTAAGGTTTCGGGTTTAGAGTTTTGGGGTTTAGGGTTTAGTGTTTCGAGTTTTAGGTTTGGGTTTATGGATTTAGGATTTGGGGTTTATAAGGTTTAGGGTTTTAGGGATTTGGGTTTTGGGGTTTAGGGTTTCAGGTTTTTTATTCTAGTGTTATGGGTTTGAGGGTTTGGATATTAAGGTTTAAGGTTTTGGAGTTTAGGGTTTGAGAGTTAAGGTTTAGTACGATAATATCTTGCAAAAGAGAGAAAGCCGATCTTGTTTCTCTTTTTTGTTGCAGAAACAGAAAAGTAGATTTTTTTTACTTCTTATTTCTGTTTCAAATATATTCCCTGACCACTTTTCTGTTTCAGAAAACAAAAAAACTAACTGGCATTATTAAACGGATTTCCATTCTTTTTCTATTCCTGGAATAAAAGAACAGAAAAATAGAAACGTTACTAAACAGACCCTAAGATTGCGTTTGTCCATAGTAAAAGATATTTTTTTTATAAAAATCTTTTATACCAACTATAAAATTTTAGGAACAAAAAATATTTGGCCATCTATAAAAATATTTATACATAAATTATGATAGAAACATCTTTTTTACTATTTAGCGATCATTTTTAGGATTTTTTTTCTAAATCATTTATTTTCTGCGAAACAAATGGAGTCTAAATCGACGTTGGACTAGTTGTTTATCGCGCCTATTTTCACATTTATAATTTAACGAGAATATCGGACGGAAGTAGACGGAGGGTAGATTTTGTCACGGGTGTGTCGATTTAAGATGTTTGATGACGCGGAAATTAATTCGGGATAAATATGTTACAGATGTATCGATTTGAAGTTGTTAGCGGTATCATCCCTATTCAAGAAATATGGGGAAAGAGTGTATGAATTTAGAGTAAGACTAATTTGGAAAAACATTTACCTAAAATAATTCAATGAAATTTTTTTTTGTTATTAACAATAATTTATATCTAAATATTTTCTTAGACGATGAATATAATATTCGCTCATTCATTTTTGTAATCGATAAAAGCGATCATTTTTAAGAAAATATTTTTCCAATCATTTATTTCTGGCGAAACAGACGAAGCTCGAATCAAAAGAGATATGGAGAGTAATCTACAAGTCGATTTATTTATCACGTGTCGGATTTCTATTGAGTGCCTGCTTATTCTAAGGCTATCATTGCATAACTTAATCAATTTCGGAGGGGCAGAATGATTGAGGTAAGCTAATAATTGCTTATCAAAAAAGGGCCAACTTTTTAGAAGGAATTTCTTTCAATACCGCTGGCCACCTTTTATAAGTGGATGGACCATCCGCAATTACTGAGTGGTGAATTTTTTGTGTGATTCCCTAAAGGCCTAGTCCCTCGTAAACAATGCTTGATATTGATTGCATAAGATTCCGATTTTGATCGTACGCTAAATTAGTATAGGTTCCTTTATCGTCTGTCTAGTCTGCTTGATCAGACATGGATGGATCAATCCATCGATCTCCTTTGAATGTACGAATTCGGTATATCTCACTTAATCGAACAGTTGTCCAATGAAAATATCCCGGAAAAAATATCAAAAAGTCATAAATCTATTACATTGATACCAATTTGACCCTAAACCTTTTAATTGGACTAATTTAATTATAAACCTTTTCATATTGATACTAATTGAGTCCATACGGCCAATTTAGACCGGAGATTACTTGGGCTGTTCCACGTGGCACGTCTAGCGTTAACGTGGATAATTTTTAAAAAAATTTCTTTTCTTTTTTTCTTCTATTTTCCTTTTTTTTTTTCTTTCCTTATTTCCTTTCACCAGTCGTCAACCTCCATTTGCTAGTCACCAGACTCTATGATGGCCAACGAGGGCTAGGGCGAGGGTGAGGGCGAGGGCTGGGATGCCCTGCAGGCTTATGGCGAGAGCTGGGGGAGAGCCCTTGCCATCACCATAGGCCGGCGGGAGCG